TCGTCAACGTATATCAGAATGAATGCCCGAGTGTTGCCAACTGTATAGAGGAGGAGGGAAGGATCGGATTTGTTGAAGTGAAATCTGAATGCTTGAAGGTGGGTCGTAAGCTTAGAGTACCATTGCCGTGGAGATTGCTTGAAGGCCATAGATTGCCTTGTGTAGTTTACATACATGAGTTGGGTGAGATTTGTTGAGGAAGCCCGGAGGGTGTTTCATGTATACCTCTTCTTCGAGTTCATTGTGAAGGAAGGCATTTGAGACATCCAGTTGGAAGATGGGCCAGCGGCGCTGAGTGGAAATAACTAGAAGAATATAGACTGGCGGGAGTTTTGCCACTGGGCTAAACATCTCGTGATAGTTAATTTCGGGTTGTTGGTCAAAACCTTTAGCCACGAGGCGAGCTTTGTGGCGGGTGTTCTGACCATTTGAATCTATCTTGAGACGATAAGTCCACTTACATCCCAATATGATGGCGTGCGGCAGTGGGGAGACCAGCGACCAGGTGCCCTGTTTATGAAGGGCATCAATTTCGTCGATCATGACAGTACGCCAGGGTGGTAGTTTGTTGGCTTGGGTGAAAGAATTGGGAGTGATGAGTTTGGTGGTTGGTGCTAAGAGGTCCAGAATAGCTTTGGGTTTTGTGATGCCATCTTTAAGGCGAGTAAGCATTGGATGGGGAGGGGGTGGATTAATGTTGGGAGTTGGGGAGATGGACTGAGGAGGTGTTGGCGTAGGGGTTATGGGAAATGAGAGGGGGGAATGTTGAGGTTTAGAGGAAAGATTGGTGGGGGTGTGTTGTGATGTGAGTTGCAGCGTAGCTGGGACAGAAGTGGTGGAAGTAGGGAGGAGCATGAGAAGAAAGATGTAGTTAGATGAGTGAGTAGGGGGTGGAGCGAGTTGTGAGGATTGAGAGAGAAAATTATGCTCGTTAAAAATGGCATGGCGGAAGATATGAATTTTATGTGTGAGAGGGTCGTAGCATCGGTAGCCTTTATGATTGGGTGAGTAGCCGATGAATATACATTCAGTGGAGTGGGGAGATAGTTTGTGTGGGAAGTGATGGCGAAGGTGAAGAAAGCATTGACAGCTAAACACGCGTAGATGACTGTATGAGGGTAGTGAATGGAACAGCTGCTGAAAAGGGATTTTGAGGTGAATTGCCTTGGAAGGTAGACTGTTAATTAGGTAGTTCGCGATTAGTAATGTGTCTGCCCAGAAGAGATGCGGAAGGTTGGCTGTGAGGAGGAGTGTTCTGGTAATGTCTAAGAGATGACGGTGCTTCCGCTAGGCGAGCCCGTTTTGCTCAGGGGTGTGTGGGCAGCAGAATTGTTGAGCAATGCCCTGAGCCGAGAGATATGATTTGAGAAGATAGCTTGTGTACTCGCCACAGGCATCGGATCGGAGAGTTTTAATTTTAGTGTTAAGTTGATTTTGACTAAGAGATGCAAAATGTTGGAATTTTGTTAATGTTTCAGATTTAGTGTTCATTAAGTACAACCAGCAGAATCTGGTGTGATCATCAATGAATATCACGTAGTAACGACTGTTATTTAGCGATGATACGGGGGCAGGACCCCAAACATCTGCATGGATTAACATAAATGGAGCAGAAGTGTGTTGTATTCTATTTTGAAATGGCAGTTTATGGCTTTTAGCCATGTTATAAAATTTTCAAGTAAACAATGAAGACAAAGTGCGAATAGACGGATCTAGTTTAGCTAAGGTTTGTAATATTTGACTGTGCGGATGGCTGAGCCGGTCGTGCCAGGCGTTGATTGTTGTTGAAGTAGATTGTAGAGCGGTGGGATGTGATGGGGAAGAAGGTGTTGATATGGAGTAGAGACCTTCTTTGCACCTACCACGAAGTAATATCTGATTGTCCTGCAGGTCAAAAATAGTGAAGCCGAAAGAATCGAAGGAGACGGAACAGTGATTGTCTAAGGTGAGTTTATGAATTGATAGTAAATTATGAGAAAGAACTAGAACGTGAAGTAGATTATGGAGGAGTAGCTTACGGTTTGATTAGGGAAGGGGTAGGAGGCCGTCGCCAGAATATTGAATGGGAAGCGTGCTGCCATTAGCGATGGATATCGAGTCCGAACCTTGATAGGTAAGTGGCTGCTGGAGGTTGCCGGCATCGAAAGTGAGATGTGAAGTGGCTCCGGTGTCTAGTACCCTATCGGTTGGAGAGGCAGAGGAGGCATGAGTTAGCATAGCCCGTGGGGGAGGGGGAACGTAGCTCAGATTGGTCCTGTGCCAGCATTGAGCGGCGATGTGCCCTGGTTTTTTGTCAGTGTTGGTTCAGTGGACGAGCATTGGATGAGTTTGATGCAGTGGTATTGACATAGCTCGTGGATCTGCCGGTAGTTCCTCTGCCTCGGCTTGCACGGTTATTGAACGATGAGTTCCCTCTGCCCATGTTAGGACGAACATTGGTGTAAAATGCAGAGTTGTCTCTGGTAGAATCCTTGAGGAGCTAATTTTGGATGTTGATCTCCTCGCTGCACAGCAGCGAATAGAGTACCTCGAGATTTATGGTGGATTGACATGTGTGGATAGAGATGGTGAAAGAGTTGTAGGCTGCAGGCAAACCATTGAGAATATAGTGAAGTATGTCTTCGGTGTCTACCCTTGATCCAACGGATGCTATGCTATCCACTATGATCTTGATTTGGGCCAGGTACTATTGCAATTAACTATCTCCCATCGTAACATTATGAAGAGCGTTCTTGAATTGGATAACTCTTGAACGATTCGTGGGTTGTAGTTTGGTCTCTAACATTCTCCAAATCTCTTGAGCTGACTGCATAATGAGAATGTAAGGAAGTATTGATGGAGATACAGTGGAATACAATGCAGATATTAGGTTCTGATCGATGAGCTTCCACAGCTCGTAGTCGGCATTCATTTCAGCAGGTTTCGACGAGGTTCCCATGAGGTATTCGAATTTCCCTCGAAACCATTTGCAGTGAAGATCTGGAGTACCTGTGATCGCCATATGGTGTAATTTTCATTATTGAGCTGAATGGTGGCTATCTGTTTAAAGTTGGACGTCAAGAATTTCAGAGGAGACCGGACGATGAATTCGCCATTGATGCCGAGAGAGAAGTGGTCGACTGTGCCGCCGACTGAGCACTTGAAGCTTTGCACTCGAACATGATAGGAAGGAGCTGTTGAGCTCTTTAATGCTCTGATACCATGCGAATACCTGCAAAACGAGAAAAGCTAGAGCAAGCAGGCAAACAGGGAAGTTATCACTGAGGAAGAAGATGAGAGCTAATTTTCATTCAGTCGTTCTCATATTTTCTCCTGATACTGTTTTCAGGTATATATGGAGGAGGAGAGTGAGCACATGGGTAGTTGAACGTGGCTTGTCAGAGCCGTTGGAGAGTGTCAGGAGCCGTTAGTGATCATGTGCTATGTTATGGCTAACATAAAACATTAATAATCTAACAAGGAAAAATGAGAGCATGCCAAGCTTTATGTGTATGTGGCAATATATATATATATATATATATAATCCGTCCATCGTCGGTGAACTGTGTCTGCTAGTCCGTTGCTGGTGAACTCGACTCACACAAGAGTCGCATCTCTGGCTCTCTTCCCCACTCGTTTACAGAGTCTCGCTGACACCTAAAATCTTTCGCCTCTCAAATCTCACAAGAAGCAAAGTCCCACATCAAGCTTATCCGTTCAGCAATCTCATGTCTCACGTGAGGCTTCTTGGTTCTTTTAAGCAGCAAAGAGGATTGGTTATAATGGTTATAATAAAATAATGATAAAATATAATAATCATTATTATTTAATCCTTTTTTTATTCTATTATATATTTATATATATTATTTATAAAGGCCTTAGTCAACCAAATGCAAATTTAAGGAAATCTCAGGGTTGATACGGTCACCCGAAGCCTTTGGTCATCGAGCTTATCTAACCGAGGGAGCGCAGACACTAGTCTTCCAATCTTCTCTCCGTTCATTCATTCCAGCCGAGTCGAGCCAAAGGAAAAATGCCCTCCCCAACATCCTGTCATCAGGGAGGGGACGCTGGAAAACTGCCGAATTTTTTAGGGGACAATAATTTTTTAAAATAAATTGTTTAAATTAGCAAGTCGTGCATATTAGAAGACTTGAAGATTTTTTTTTATTGATTTGCTCTCCCATACTCCTTTCTGTTGATTTGATCCAGCTGAGTCGAACACTGCCTTACCTCCCGGGATCGGGGAGGGGACGCCGGGAGGCTGTCGAAGTTTTCTCAAAACTTTTGGACTTAGATGGATTTTGGAACAAAAAAAACACAATAATACGGATTTAATTTGAATTCAATTAAAATAATTTAACTATTAAATTAAAATAAACAAGTCATTATTCAAACCAAATTTCAATTTTAAACAATAAATTCAAACTCTAAAAAAAAATTCAAATCAAGCAAACAGTTAATCATTAAATCCAGATCCAACAATTTAATTAGTGAACTAATTTTTAAGTTAAAATTCAATGAGTTTAATAACAGGAATTTAAATAACTTATAAAGAAAATCAAACCAGTTATCTGGAACTGAAATTCTTTATTCATTATGTAATTCACTTGTTTAATTGAAGTCAAGGTTTGGGAGCCTCAATTTATTAATTAATTAGAACTATATGGATTAATTAAATAATTGAGGGACTAATTGGTTAATTTAATAAATTAAATAACTAAAGAAAATCTGAAATGCATTCAGTCAACTAAAGTTTAAATATTCAGTCAACCTATATAATAGATTTAAGTAATCATACCGATAAGTTGAGCTTAATTGAAAAAAGTGAGAAGAGTTGGGCCTTTAAATAGTTGTGAAACTGAAAACCTTAACATTAATTGAATAAATCGAATAATCAACTTAATAAGTAATTTAAACAACATAATACATTTGAAATCTAAACTTAAATCAATTTAATTTAAATATTTTAATACTCTTAAAATACATTTAAATTTAAAATTAAATTAATAAATTAAGTGTTAACAAAAATTCAACTTTCATTTAATTGATTAATAATCAAATCAAGTCTAAAAAAACCATACACATAAAAAGGACTATACAACTCACTAAAACTCAACTCCTAAGAAAACTAACCAAAACACAAAACTGAAAGAAAGTCTCCAAAATTCTAATCTAAACCCAGTTCCTGGTGGGCTCCAGCCTTGGCTCTCGACAAAGTCCTAAACTCCTTATAAAGCTCTTAGTAGGCTCTAGCCCTTGTAACTACATCATATGTGGCTGCAAACTCCTGCTATTGCAACCGCTGGCTACGAACACCTGCAAACAAGCAGACAAAAGTCAGTGCAATCATAAATAAAATTAATGCTAAAAAAAGTAATTCTAACTACTGTAAGTAATGTAAAGTACGAGAAAGCTAACAAAGTAATAGTGCTAAAAAAACAATACACAACAAACTATTGTAATTAAAATAAACTACGAACACAAGAACAATGACCTTTCCAAATGATTCAACAAAGAACTCTTAAGCACTCAAAACAAAACGTAAATTACAGGCAGTCTAGTTTATAAGAATTAGGTTATAAGACCCACAACTTAGCTACTTTCAATGAAATCCGTAAGTCCAGTCTTTAGGGGTAATAGTTAGAAACCAACCTAACTTTATACCCCTTAATTGGACATCTTAGCCTATATGACTAAGTTGTAAGACCCTCCATTTGGGATACTTCTAAGCGAAGCGGTAAGACCCGCTTGTTCGGGAACTTCTAAACAATTGACCCTAAAACTAAAACTCAAATCCCTTAAATGAGCATCTTAGCCTATAGGACTAAGTTATAAGACCCGCCATTTGGGCAACTTCTAAGTGAAGCAGTAAGACCTGCATATTAAAAAAATTCTAAACAAACGAACCTAAAACAAAAAAACTCAAACCACAATGGGCATCCTAGTCTATAAGGGTTAGGTTGTAAGACCCAATATACGGGTCACTTAGCTTATAGGGCTAGGTCGTAAGATCTATCATTAAGCAACTTCTAAGGAAGCCATAAGACCTACGCAACCAAAATTCTTTGGACCACCTCTAAAAGAGGTCGTGAGTCCCACTATTAGGGAAACTTCTAAGGAAATCATAAGCCCCTACCTAAATCAAATCAACGGGAAACTCTTAATTGGAGCTGTAAGCCCCAAAATAAACAAATTAATGGGCAACTCCTAATTGGAGCCATAAGCCCCAAACTAAACAAATTAACAGGCAACTTTAATTGGAACTATAAGCCCCAAACTAAATAAATTAATGAGCAACTTCGAATGAAGCCATAAGCCCCAACCCAAATTAAACTAAACTAAAATTCACACATCTGTACTTCAGTCTATTCAGGATCCCTAAGAGGTGGCAACCCATGATTGCTAATCAGATTCCTTGGACACTACAACCAACGGTTGTTAGTGTTGGTAGATTGAACCCACGGTATGCCCGGGATGACAGAACTATGGGATCTTGATCGGGTGTACCTTCATCCCCCATAACTAAATTTAAATATCTGTTACACATTCACACACTTCTTGTATTAAGCTAAGTATATTTCATCCTTAATCGAGAGTGATCTTCTAATGCGTTAGGAGATGTAATTAACTATGAGGGCTTGCGCTCATAGGAAGTAGAACTCAGATCTAAATAAACTCTGACATTATTATCAGGAGAAATCTGGTTAAATATTAACTCAATCTACCTCTGGAAAAATTAAAAGTTAACCCTTAAGTTCGTAAGAGCGAGGTTCACTTTGTCTTTAATTTAAAAAGATAATTTTTTGGAGCGTTCCTACCTTTACCTTTCTTAACATAGTGGTTGTTTCGTTGCCTGAAAAAGGAATGCAGTGAAAAATAAATGCAATGTAAAAGAAATGTCGTGTAAAAAGCGTACTTTGAAGATGTTTAGACAAGTGAAGAAGGAATTCAAGACATCCCTTTTTTATTTGATTTTAAGTAAAGTGAATGCTATGTAAATTATAAAAAGGTTGTGATCGGGGTGGGCGGTGGGTGGCGATCTGCGGCAAGGGGGTTGAGGGCACAACGACTAGCAGCGGGGAGAGTGGTGGGAGGCGACGACGATGGCTTGGGTTGAAAAATAATTGATAAGAGAAAAAAATTAAGATTTTTACAAAGATAAGTATTATTAGATCTTGAAGCTTGGGTTGAAAAAGAAATTTTCTTTTATTTCCTCTTAAATTGTATCAGTAGTGTTTTAAGTTGTTCTTTGGAATTTAATAAATTCAAAAATTACTTAACATCTCACTAAATAATTTTTTTTTAATTTGTTTGTTTAAACTTCAACAAAATTATTATTTTTTCAGAGACTCAAATTTACCTCCCACCCCTCCTGTCTTGGGTGTGCCAAACATTACAATTCAAACACATAAAAAATTTGATTGAATTTAAAAAATAAACAAGGACATTATATTGTCAACAATGTGATAATGTTGGTCATATATACCTTTTATGTAATACCGAGACTAAAACTCTAAACTTAGGAGGAATCTCATCCTCTAAAATATTTGAATAAAGGTTAATTTTAGATTCCTTAGGTTTAGAGCAAAATAGAAGTAGTAGGTTGCTAAGAAATGATGGAAGCAAAAGACTTGTTGATAATAATACCCTTTCTCCTAGCTCAAGGAACTAATGGGGGAGCTTGATGCAGCTTTATATGAAGGTGTTATTATTGGATGATAAACCTAATGATTTTGATAGGCCATGTAATTTGTCATTTACAGCCTTAAAATGAGTGTTTAACAAGTCTCAAGTGATGAACTCATTAGCTCCCAAGGACTCTCTGGCGTGTTGCAAAATGTTTGGAGGATTTCTAGTGTTAGTAACTCAACCATTTTTTTCTTTTTGTAGTGGTAAAATAATAGGTTCCTATAGGCGAGGCCAAAAATATAAACAAAAATAAACTTCCTTTGCTCTGTACAACAAAGAAGAATTTTATCTAAGGAGATAATTTTTTTATTTATGTAGTGGTTCAAATAACTTGGGAACATATTATGGCCAAATTTACTCTAGAGAGAGGCATAGTTCATCAACGAACAAAGTTTTTCCAAGTCAAGGAATGAGCAAAAACATAACAAGATATCTATGTACAATCAAACGAAAAAATGAAAGGTTAAAACTTTGGTAGATAGCTTCATCCGTGAAACTATAGGTGTAAATATTTGACACGACACAAAAATTCGACTCGAACCAACCCAAATTTTTTTCTTTTGACCCAACCCGAGGGTCGGGTCGGGTCGAGTTCGGGTTCTAGAATTTGACCCGTTTGAAAAACATGTCAGAATCGGGGTGACCCGACGGGTTATCGAGTAAACCCGCAAACCCATTTAAAATCAACTACGCACGAACCTGCAGAAATATCAGCCAAAACTCTTATTTTAAGGTTTCTAACTTATAGGTAATGCAAAGCTTAAGACCAAACTTAGGGATTTACATGAAAAAAATGAAAGATATTATGCTATTACATTGAAATTCAACCATCATTATTAAATGAAAATATGTTGAAAACAGTAAGAATTAAAAGAGAATAGTTAAAAGTGAACATTAACCTACTTGATTTTTGGATACAAACTACAGCGAACCACACTTTGATGAGGGGAGATTCCCATTCTTGATACAAGCTCAAGTTTCCTCCTGTCATAGAAACAAAGCATGCCTCCAATTATATCTTCTTTTTCAACCGAGGTTCCATTAAGGATAAGCTTCTCGTCTGGACTAAATCCAGCATTTGTTTGGGCATAATAATTGGGAATGTTATCAAATATTTTGATTGGATTTCTCATTTGTTGCAAATCCAAGACCTATCAACAAAACCACAACATGCATTTTCCTAGTTTTCTCTTACTCTTTGAAACTGTTCACCAAAAATAGTGATAATTGTAGGTTGTTCAGATGAAGTATTATATATCCGTACCTTAAATGTATTATCCATGCTTATGGATAAGAGAATCAAGCCATCAATCGAAAACTTAAGTCTACACCATCTGTATGTGCTCTCTCTACGTGAATGTCTAGCCTGCTGCCCCATACAGACTTCATGCTCCATAACTGTACAATTGACCATTCCATCAGAAAAACTTATTAGAAGTATACATCAAGATTACATATAAAACAAATAAGTTGCAAGTGTGGACAAAACGAAATAAAAGATGAAATATAAAATTCACAGCATAAATTATAATGAAAATAATGAAACTTGTATGGAACCATCGCCAAGAGCACCAACAATACGTTTACCTTCATGATCCCATGCACAAGCTGTGAGATCCCTCACTTGAGGAAGAAGCACTTCCTCATGGATCTTGCAAGAGGAGGAGGGAGAGAGGATGAGGGTAAACCGTGAGCCACAAACAATGCAAATCTTTATTTCCTTGGCTGCATCCTAATACAAAACTAAAGCCTATAAATAGGCTTCTACAAGCTATACAAATAGCTACACCTAAGCTATACAAAAACAAACCTAAATCTAGGACTAATACCTAACAATCACCCCCTTAGTCCAGATTTTACAAAACAAAAGATAACCACTATTCTTGATAGAATATCCAAAGAATGATCATGTCGGTCTCCTCCGCAAAAAAGCGTCTACCGACATTCAAGCTCCACCTCCCGAGAGATCTCCTGTCGCACTGCGTCCAACGCAGCCAATCCCCGAGCACCCCTAGCCAGGCTTCCGCACCCTGTGCATCCACCAGCACCCTGCGCCTCAGTGCCCGCGCCCTGCGTCTCCAGCCCGCGTCCAAACGCCACAAGCTCGCGCCCGCGCCTTGCACTCATGTGGTCTCTCTCCGACCACATCCTGCACATCCACCCGTGCAGCGAGCCCTGCGCCCTCACCAGCGCTCCGCTCGTCACAAGACCACGCTCCGCACTGCCGCATCCGGCCAGTACCCTGCGTGTCTTTCACCAGTGCCCCGCGCTCCTATGCGGACTCCTCGTGCACCGCACGACCACGCATCTCCAAGCGCCCCGCACTCTCAACCTTGCTCTCCAAGAGCAGCCAACACTACCTCAGTGTCTCCCGGACTCCACCCGGAATTCAAAACTCCACCTTAAAGATCAGCAATTCATAAGATCCACAAGATTTCCTGCAGTCTTTACACAACTCAAATAATTTGTAATCTTTAGCCATGGAGCAAACAATCTCCTCTCCACTAGGATGCACTGTAAAGCCCACGGGATACTTGTCTTCTTGCGATCAAGACCTGACTCCACTTCTGCTCCCGATCAAGAAGATTAAGCAAACCTTAATCTCCTTCCGTTTCGAACACGATGCCCAACTTCTCGCACACGAACCAGCAGCTCGACTCTGCCTCCCAGCTCGCGCGACCTGCCTGCCTTGCTCCCGTCAAGAACCGGTCCTTCTGCCTCCGCCGAGCAGATCCGAATCGAGCCAACCGAGAGCCCAAGTCCGGCTTCTGCTCGTTCAGCACCGAGCAAGCCCCAAGCCAGCAAACGCCCCCACCAGTGCCGCTTTCTTGTCTCCGATCCGCAAGAGTCCGGCGCTCTGCCTATGCCCCAACGCCACAGCCTTTAGCTTCTTGCGTGCAGACCAGCGGCCCAGTCCGCCTCTGCTGATCAAGAGGCCAATGCGATGCCAGCCGCGAACTCAGCACAGACGAACCATCCCGCCGTCCGTTAGCCGCTCCCTTGGCTGAATCCAGCGAACCCCACCAAGATCGCCTCCTTCAGTTTCTTCAGACAAGAAACCTCTCTCCTCCACCTCGAGATCGCCACCGCCGTGGCTCTGATACCAGATGTGAGATCCCTCACTTGAGGAAGAAGCACTTCCTCATGGATCTTGCAAGAGGAGGAGGAGGGAGAGAGGATGAGGGGAAACCGTGAGCCACAAACAATGCAAATCTTTATTTCCTTGGCTGCATCCTAATACAAAATTAAAGCCTATAAATAGGCTTCTACAAGCTATACAAATAGCTACACCTAAGCTATACAAAAATAAACCTAAATCTAGGACTAATACCTAACACAAGCCGTAACTGGAACCCTCATTGGCCTAGCAACCTTAGGCTTAATAACCTAACGACAGAAAAGCAATTAGATATCTTGTAGATATTTTTCTTCATTTAAATGATAGTACAACTACCATATAAATGGATTGTTTTTCCATCAATAAAAGTAAAGAGCAATAAAAGAATTAATTAGAGTAACATGTATGTGCATCAATTTTGCCATTTCATGCATGCCCATGTAACTGGATTGCTGCACATGTTAAATGTTGTCGGATTAAAAAAAGGGCATACTTGCTTTAAGTTTCCATAACCCAAAACATGAGTTCCTGTCAAAGCTGTTTTTGACATTTGAAGTCATTTACATCCCATACACGCAAAGACCCATCTTCAAAAGAAGTTAAGATAGTTTCCTTGGACTTGGGATTCCATTCTCCACCAGTCAAGCCAGATATATGACCCTTGGTGTTCTTTTAAGTCACGTATATACATATCTCCCTTGATGAACTCACCCAGGGTAAGTCCATCTCGATCATAAATCTGCAATTAATTTCCTCCATAGAAATGATTAATCAATAAAACTAGAATCTAAATATAAAATGAGCCAAAGCTAGGCACCTTAGCATGTGCTGAACCTGTTACACAAAAATTTTTCTGACGTAGGACTCCAACTTATACTTCGAACCTGGTGTCCCTCAAAAGGTTCTAACTGTCTGAATGACTACAACTTAGAAGTCATCCCTTTAAAGTCATACATTCTTACGGTGTAGTCATAGCTTCCAGAAAGTACTCTCGATCTAGAATGATCAACTGCAAGAGCTGAGACAATCTATAAACAACAAGAGAGATGTGATCATCATATATTTTAGAAAAAAAAAAACAAGTTTTTCGACGAAATTCAGAGGTCAAAAATAATGTCAAATAAATGAATTAATAGCTTTCCAATATTATTGATTTTCCCTTAGTTTGGATCCAGAAGAGTTTAATTTCAAATTTTGAAAAAGGTAGAATCGAAAAAAATTCAAGAAAGAAGCATCATCAAACAACAATTTAATGTTATGAATGTTATGATATAGCCACTAAGCTTGTAGACTAGTTGTGTCACCCCTTGTGTCCAGATGGGAAGTCTAGGGCACAATTCCTTCCAAAACAAAATATGATGAGATCGATAACCATAGAATGTTATTAGTTTGTCAGGTTTATATTATGCTTCACTTAGAGGTTTGGGATATATTATGATGCAACATGATAGAGTGATAGCATATGCTTCTAAACAGTTGAAGCTACATGAGAGGAAGTACCTGATACATAATTTAGATTTAATTGTTGTTGTATTTGCTTTGAAAATATTGTGGCATTACTTATATGAAATCAGATGCGAGATCTTTACTGACCATTAGAGATTAAAATACATTATTTACACAAAAAGGATCAAAACCTAAGGCAAAGGATATGGCTTGAGTTGATTAAAGACTAAGATTTGATTATTTAATGTCAACTTGTTAAGGATAATGTGGTGGAAGACACTTTAAGCAGTATATCTTCTAAAGTTTTATTTCTTCAGCTTACTACTAATAAGTATTTGATATGAGATATGGAGAGATTACAGTTGGAGGCGATTTCTTCTTCTAACTAAGACTCTAGTATATTGGCTAAGATGATTATTCAGCATTCTTTGTAAGAAATGATTCACGAATCTAAGAAGTTGGATACATTGTATATATATTTGGTTAATTTTATTAGATTTGACAAGATATTAAAACTACGCGCTTCTAATTTTGGTATTCTATTTTATAAGAATAGATTATTGGTTCCTATTTTTTGCAATATAATGAGAGAGATTCTACACGAGGCTCACTATTTTGGCTACACTATTCACCCAGGAAATAGCAAAATGTGTACTTATTTGAAAGGTATATGCTTTGGTGGTTTAGATTGAAGAATAATATGACAAATTTTCTATCAAAGTATAAAGCCTGTCAGGTAGTGAAGGCAGAGCATCAATGATAAAGCATTTTTTTGTAGTCATTACTCATTCCAGAGTAGAAGTGGGAAGCTATGACTATGGACTTAACTATAGGTTTCCCCAAGTTGAGATAAGGATATAATGCTATATGGGTTATTATTGATCAACTAAAGAAGTCTATGCATTTCATTCTAATGTGACAGTCTAATTCTGTTGACAGATTTGAAAGTTAGTGAGGGGTGTTAAACCCTCATCCCCTAAACCCTAAACCCAAAATACCCTAAACCCAAAACCTAAAACACTTGCCCTCTCTCTCTCTTTCGCTCGCTCTCTCCCCTCATCCTCTCTTTCTCTCTCTTACCCTCCCTCTCTCTCTCTCTAAGTTCAGCTCAAAAAAATAAGTTCAGCTTGTTCTCTCTCTCTCCCCCACTCTCTCTCTCCATCTCTCTCTCCCTCGCCCTATCTCTCTCCCTAGCCCTCTCTCTCTCTCTCTCTCTCTCTCTCTCTCTCTCTCTCTCTCTCCCTCCCTAAACCCTAAACCCCAACTCTAAACCCTATACCATAAACCCTAAACCCTATAAACCTTAGATTCTAAACCCTTAACCCTAAACCCTATCCCCTAACGTCCCTAAACCCTAAATCTTAAACCCCTGCCCTCTCTCACTCTGTCTCTCTCCCTCTCTCGCTCTCTTGCCCTCTCTCTCTTGCTTGCCCTCTCTCTCTTGCTTGCCCTCTCTCTCTCTCTCTCTCTCTCTCTCTCCCTCTCTCTCTCCCTGCCCTCTCTGTCTCTCTCTCTTGCCCTCTCTATCTGTCTCCCTTGCCCTCTCCCTCTCTCTCTCTCTCTCCCTACCTTCTTTCACTCTTTCTCTCACTCCCTTGCCCTCTCTCTCTATCTCTCTCTCTCCCTGCCCTCTCTCTCTCTCGTTCTCTATCTCACTCTCCCCCATGCCTCTCTCTCTCTCTCTCTCTCCCCCTCACACACTCTCTCTCCCTCGCCCTATGTCTCTCTCTCCCTCTATCTCCCCCTTGCCCTATCTCTCTCACTCACCCTCTCTCTCTCTCCCTATGTCACTCTCTCTCTCCCTAAACCCTAATCCATAAACTCTAAAACCTAAACCCTAACCCTAAACACTCAACCTTAAACCCTAAACCTTAATCCCTAAACCCTAAACCCTAAACCATAATCCGTAAACCCTAAACTTTAAATTTTAAACCCTAAACCCAAAATCCTAAACCCTAAACCCTAAACCCTAACCCCTATCTCTAAACCATAAACCCTAATCCCCTAAACCCTAAATACCCTAAACCCTAAACTCTTGCCCTCTCTCTCTCTATCTCTCTCTCTCTCTCTGTCTCCCTCTCTCTCTCCCCCTACCCTATCTCTCTCTATCTCTGTCTCTCTGTCTCTCTCTCTCTCTCTCTCTCTCTCCCTAAACCCTAAATCCTAACCCTAAACCCTATACACTACAGGAAAACAGATAATTTATGGCAGAATTTTCTGTGGAAATAAATTCGACAGAATTTTTGTCGAATTTTCCAGCGGATTTCCGATGGAAAATTCCTGGCGGCTTTCCGACGGAATTCCAGCGATTTTTTGGATATGCTTTTCGATGGAATTATTTTTGACGGAATTTCCGACGGAATCTCGAGTTGAATTTCCTACGGAATTTCAAGCAACAATTAAATATATTTAAAAAATTACTATTAAAAATATTTATAATTATTTATTTTTTTAAATTAAGTTAGATAATTTACTAACTTATTATCAAATTAAATTATTTAAATTAAATATTTTAAAAATTATGTTATGATTTAATAATTATGTTATAAATATAGTATTTCTAGTATCAGTCTAGGATAGGAGTATATATTCTTGTTCTATTTCTGATATCCCGATAGTATGAAAAATTCTTGATGTATTTCCTGAGGAGTTAGTCAATTTGCATTCAGACAAAGACATAGAGTTTTATATTGATATATTTTTGGGTATAACCTTGATATATAAATCTCTATTTATGATGTCACCTAAGGAGCTTCAAGAGTTGAAAGTTTAGCTTCAATAGTTGGTTGATAAGGGATTTGTTCTTCTTAATGTCTCTTTGTGGGGAGCACATATTCTATGTGTGAAGAAAAAGAACAGTATGATAATTATGTGCATTGACTATAATGAGTTAAATAAAGTCACTATCAAGAATAAGTATCATCTATTATATATTAATGACCTATTCAACCAACTTATTAGATCTTCTGTATTTTTAAAGATTGATCTATGATCAGGATATTATCAAGTAAAAGTGAGAGAGTCTGATGCGATAAAGACAGCTTTCAGTATGAGATATAGACACTATGTGTTTTTAGTCATGCTTTTTGGGGTGATGAATGTATCAATCATCTTTATGAACCTGATGAATAGAGCATTTAGAGAATTCTGGATCAGTTTATTATTATTTTCATTTACAACATTTTGGTATATTCTACTTTTGCGGAAGATCATGCCAAACATTTGAAAATTATTTTGGAGACTTTGAGGATGTATTAACTATATGAAAATTTCTCCAAATGTGAGTTTGGGCTAAAGAGAATTACTTTTTAGGGGCATGTGGTGAATAGTGCTAGTATCTTTGTAGACCCTTAGAAAGATTAGGCAATCACTTAGTGGTTGAGTCCTACTACTGTGTTTGAGGTACATAATTTCTTTGGTAAGGCTAGATATTAAAGGAAACTTGTGAAGAGACTTTCTCAAAGTTCTGTAGCTCTGACGAGACTGACTCAAAAGTCAGTAGATTTTATTTGGTCACATGAGTGTGAGGTCAATTTTAGAGTTTGAAGGATTATTTCACTTGTGGTCCAGCTTTAGCTCTTCCTTCCGGTATAAAAGGATTTCATGTATTCAAGTATGCTTCACTTACAGGTTTGGGATATATTATGATGCAATATGATAGAGTGATAGCATATGCTTCTAAACAGTTAAAGCAACATGAGAGGAACTACCTGATACATAATTTAGATTTAATTGTTGTTGTATTTGCTTTGAAGATATTGTGGCATTTCTTATACGAAATCAGATGCGAGATCTTTACTGACCAATAGAGATTCAAATACATATTTACACAAAAAGGATCAAAACCTGAGGAAAAGGATATGGCTTGAGTTGATTAAAGACTATGATTTGATTATTTAGTGTCAACTTGATAAGGATAATGTGGTGGAAGACACTTTAAGCAGTATATCTTCTAATGTTTTATTTCTTCAGCTTACTACTAATAAGTATTTGATATGAGATATGGAGAGATTACAGTTGGAGGCGATTTTTTCTTTTAACTGAGACTCTAGTATATTGGCCAAGATGATTATTCAACATTCTTTGTAAGAAATGATTTATGAATCTAAGAAGTTGGATACATTGTATATATAGTTGGTTGATTTTATTAGATATGATAAGATATTAAAACTACGCGCTTCTAATTTTGGTATTATATTTTATAAAAATAGATTATGGGTTCCTATTTTTTGCAATATAATGAGAGAGATTCTACACGAGGTTCACTATTTAGACTACACTATTCACCCATGAAATAGCAAAATGTGTACTTATTTGAAAGGTATATGCTTTGGTGGTTTAGATTGAAGAATAATATGACAAATTTACTATCAAAGTATAAAGCCTATCAGGTAGTGAAGGCAGAGCATCAATGATAAGAGTTTTTTTGTAGTCGTTACTCATTCCAGAGTAGAAGTGGGAAGCTATGACTATGGATTTAACTATAGGTTTCGCCAAGTTGAGATAAGGATATAATGCTATTTGGGTTATTATTGATCAACTAAAGAAGTCTATGCAATTCATTCTAATGTGACAGTCTAATTCTGTTGACAGATTTGAAAGTTAGTGAGGGGTGTTAAACCCTAATCCCATAAATCCTAAACCCTAAACCATAAATACCCTAAACCCAAAACCTAAAACACTTGCCTTCTCTCTCTCTCTCTCCCCTCGCCCTCTCTCTCTCTCTTGCACTCTCTCTCTCTCTCTAAGTTCAACTCAAAAAATAAGTTTAGATGTTCTCTCTCTCTAGCCCTCTCTCTCTCTCTCTCTCCCACTCTCTCTATCTCTCTCTCCCTCGCCCTATCTCTCTCCCTAGCCCTCTCTCTCTCTCACTCCCTCTCTCTCTCTCTCTCTCTCTCTCTCTCTCTCTCTCCCTAAACCCTAAACCCTAAACTCTAAAATCTAAACCCTAACCCTAAACACTTAACCTTAAACCATAAACCTTAATCCCTAAACCCTAAACCCTAAACCCTAAACCCTAAACCCTAAACCCTAAACCCTAAACCCTAAACCCTAAACCCTAAACCCTAAACCCTAAACCCTAA